TGGGTAAGGTTTGACTATATAAGGATGATTCTAAACAAACCGGATGCTGTAGATGTTTTCATAGCTTTTATGGCTCACGAAAATAGAAATTATCATTCGTATACCATGCCATTGTAAGGATACAAATGTGCAAGATATTGGAATTTGGGAAAAATTCAGAAGGAAGATCATATGAGCTCCTACAGTCTGATCTATCTGCCCACCCTTCCTATCATGTTCATTTCTCTTTTCCTTTGAAGGTGATCATGGCTATGAGAATAAAGATCCCAGTGAAAAATTCGAAGTGATCAGGCATGGAGGCGGAATGGAGAAGGAACTGGAGATGCAACTAGAAAGTCATGAGAGAAGCCAGTCAAAGAATTGGAATCAGGAAAGCTTATCTTCCATGGATGCTGAGACACAAGGCTTTCTTGCCCAACAAGGAAAAATAAAGGAAAAGTATGCTGGAAAAAGTGTAATACTATTAAAAGACAAATTAGTTGTAAATGATCACTCTCCAACCCAACCGAAAGGAGAACATTCTGTCTGCAGAGACAATAGAAAAAACCACAATTGGACTTTCACTCTTTCCTGTGAAGATGGGTCCCTTACATCTCATGAAAGGATCCACAGAGGGGGAAAACCATATAAATGTTTGGAATCTGGAATGATTTTCAGAACAAGCCGTCAAGTTACTTCACATGAAAGGTTCCAGACAGGGGAGAAACCACATGCATGCGCGGAGTGTGAAAAAAGCTTTCGTAGTAGGAGTGGACTTACTTCCCATAAAAGGATCCACACAGGGGAGAAACCATATAAGTGCATTGAGTGTGGAAAGAGCTTCAGGACCAGCAGTCAACTTACTTACCATAAAAGTATCCACACAGGGGAGAAACCATATAAGTGCATTGAGTGTGAAAAGAGCTTTCGTAGTAGGAGTGAACTGACTTCCCATAACAGGATCCACACAGGAGAGAAGCCATATAAATGCATGGAGTGTGGAAAGACTTTTACTCAAAGCTGTAAACTTACTTCCCATAAAAGAATCCACACAGGAGAGAAGCCATATAAGTGCATTGAGTGTGAAAAGAGCTTTCGTAGTAGGAGTGAACTGACTTCCCATAACAGGATCCACACAGGAGAGAAGCCATATAAATGCATGGAGTGTGGAAAGACTTTTCGTCACAACAGTAATCTTACTTCCCATCATAAAAGAATCCACACAGGGGAGAAGCCATATAAGTGCATGGAGTGTGGAAAGAGCTTTCGTAGTAGGAGTGAACTTACTTCCCATAAAAGGATCCACACGGGGGAGAAACCACTTGAATGCATGGAGTGTGGAAAGACTTTTCGTCACAACAGTAATCTTACTTCCCATCATAAAAGAATCCACACAGGGGAGAAGCCATATAAGTGCATGGCGTGTGGAAAGAGCTTTACTACTAGGAGTGAACTTACTTCCCATAACAGGATCCATACAGGGGAGAAGCCACATGAATGCTTGCAGTGTGGAAAGAGTTTCAGAATAAGCCGTCACCTTATTGCCCATAAATGGATCCACACAGGGGAGAAGCCATATAAGTGCATGGAGTGTGGAGAGAGCTTTCGTAGTAGGAGTGAACTTACTTCCCATAAGTGGATCCACACAGGGGACAATCCATATAAGTGCATGGAGTGTGGAAAGACTTTTACTCACAACGGTAAACTTACTTCCCATAAAAGAATCCACACAGGGGAGAAGCCATATAAGTGCATGGCGTGTGGAAAGAGCTTCAGAATAAGCAGACACCTTATTGCCCATAAATGGATCCACACAGGGGACAAGCCATATAAGTGCACAGAATGTGGAAAGAGCTTTCGTAGTAGGAGTGAACTTACTTCCCATAAAAGAATCCACACAGGGGAGAAACCATATAAGTGCATGGAGTGCGGAAAGACTTTTCCTCAAAACAGTTCACTTACTTCCCATAAACGGATCCACACAGGGGACAAGCCATATAAATGCTCAGAGTGTGGAAAAAGCTTTCGTAGTAGGAGTCATCTTACTTCCCATAACAGGATCCACACGGGGGAGAAGCCATATAAGTGCCTGGAGTGTGGAAAGAGCTTTCGTACTAGGAGTGAACTTACTTCCCATAAGTGGATCCACACAGGGGACAATCCATATAAATGCATGGAGTGTGGAAAGACTTTTACTCAGAACGGTAAACTTACTTCCCATAAAAGAATCCACACAGGGGAGAAGCCATATAAATGTACGGAGTGTGTAAAGAGCTTCAGAACAAGCAGTCACCTTATTACCCATAAACGGATCCACACAGGGGAGAAGCCATGTAAGTGCCTGGAGTGTGGAAAGAGCTTTCGTACTAGGAGTAATCTTACTTCCCATCATCAAAGAATCCACACGGGGGAGAAGCCATATAAGTGCATGGAGTGTGGAAAAAGCTTTACTACTAGGAGTGAACTTACTTCCCATAAAAGGTGTCAGGATCTACACAAGCCAGAACCTTCGATTGCTTTTAATTGAGTTTCACAATGTATATTACATGGTTAATAGTAAAAATGGTAATTGCAGCCCGCTTTTCTTGACCTGCCATTGAAGTGGGGAAAGGATGCCAGGTGCTGTTATCTTTACACAGGCATCTCCAAGGCCAAGCACTGTGAGAACTGGAGCAAGGCGCGAAGAATTTCAAGCGGGAAGAGAAAGGAACAAGGGGGGCAGTTTGGGCTTAAAAAGGAGAGGTTTTGCTTTGTAGAATTAGACTCAACAATCTATTGCTGCTGTGCATTTCTCCCAATAAAGAAATC